GAGGACGATCTGGATGGAATCCATATTGTGGCCTTCGCAGAGGAGGAGGACCCAGGTAGGGTTCTATTATTGGAGGAGTGTGATGTCACTGTGATGTCATAGCAGTCAGGATTCTCTCTAGATACATGTGGTGGCTCCAGTGATCTGTAATGATTGGGGTAGTCACAGTGACAAGATGGAGATGTATTTGATTTCTGACCCGATCTCACGGCCCATCTCTGTTTTCAGATGGCTATGAATTCATCCAGATCCTGAAGGAAGTGGCCAGAGAAAACACTGAGAACCCGGAACTCAGCATCGTCTGGATCGACCCCGATGACTTCCCATTGGTAGGTGTCCCCATCATCTCTCTGCTATAGGATCACTTCTCCCAATCATGTTCACCAATGTGAAACTACCCCTCCCTACCCCTTGAGGATGTCACATCATGTGCCTCTGATTGGATCTCCTCTTCAAGTCATGTCCACCAATGTCACATGATCACTCCTTTCTTACCCTCTGGTGATGTCCATCATGTCCCTTTGATTGGACCTACTCTTCAAGTCACGTCCACCAATGTCACATGATCACTCCTGATGACTCTGATGACACATCATGACCCTTTGATAGGACCTTCCTATCCAAGTCATATCTGTCAGTGTTACATGATCACCTTTCCTGAACCTCTGATGATGTCACATCATGACCCTCTGATAGGACCTCCTCTCCAAGTCATGTCCACCAAATGTCACATAACCACTTTCCTCTGAGTTTGATGTGCCACATCATGATCCCTCCTGATAGGACCTCCTCTGCCAAGTCATGTCCACCAATGTCACATGATCACCCCTCTGATGATGTCACATCATGTCCCTATGATAGGACCTCCTCCACCCAAGACGTGTCCACTGTCACATATAACCACCCTTTCCTATGGAGTTTGATGATGCCACATTCATATCCCTCCTTTAGGACCTCTTCTGCCAGCCAGTCATGTCCACCATGTTCACATGATCACTCCTCTGATGATGTCACATCATGACCCTATGATAGGACCTCCTCTCCAAGTCATGTCCACCTCATGTCTGTCACTGTTACCCATGATAACCTTCCAAGTGATGCCCACCTTACATGATGTGGGATTTTGTCCACCCCTGAGAAGACTTCCTCTCCAAGTCATGTCCACCAGTGTTACATTATTACTCCTCTAATGATGTCACATCATGACCCTCTGATAGGACCTCCTCTCCAAGTCATGCCCACCAGTGTTACATTATTACTCCTCTAATGATGTCACATCATGACCCTCTGATAGGACCTCCTCTCCAAGTGATGCCCACCAGTGTTACATTATTACTCCTCTAATGATGTCACATCATGACCCTCTGATAGGACCTCCTCTCCAAGTGATGCCCACCAGTGTTACATTATCACTCCTCTAATGATGTCACATCATGACCCTCTGATAGGACCTCCTCTCCAAGTCATGTCCACCAGTGTTACATTATTACTCCTCTAATGATGTCACATCATGACCCTCTGATATGACCTCCTCTCCAAGTGATGTCCACCAGTGTTACATTATTACTCCTGTAATGATGTCACATCATGACCCTCTGATAGGACCTCCTCTCCAAGTCAAGTCCACCAATGTCACATTATCACTCCTCTGATGATGTCACATCATGTCCCTCTGATAGGACCTCCTCTCCAAGTTCTGTCCAATAATGTCGTATAACCACCCTTCCCTATGGAGTTTGATGATGCCACATCATATCCCTCCTTTAGGACCTCTTCTGCCAGCCATGTCCACCAATGTCACATGGTCTCCTATCCTTACCATCTGACAATGTTACATCCTGTCCCTCTGGTAGGACGTCCTCTCCAAGTCACATGCATCAATGTCACGTGATCACCACTCCTTAACCTCTGATGATGTCACATTATGTCCACCTGACAGGATCTCCTCTCCAAGTCTCAGGCGATGCCATATGATGACCCTTCCTTACCATTGGATGACATATCGTGTGACCTCCTATCCCATTCATGTCCTCCAACATCACACCACTCCTCCCTACCCTCTGATGATGTCACATTGCGTCTGTATAATGTCACAGTCATGCTTTAACTCATCCATGAAGTTGTGATGTCAGCTTAGTGACGTCATACTGCCAGTTCTCTGTTTACTGATGTCATGTTGTCAGTCTTCTTCTTGTTGGGTGATGCTTCTACAATGTGATGATGTAATGATGATGTCACATGTGATTCTGTCCACAGTTGGTGACGTATTGGGAGAGGACTTTCCACATTGACCTGTTCAGGCCTCAGATCGGAGTTGTTAATGTAACCGATGTGAGTATCAGACGTTTCCTATCATCCACAAGACATGACTGGCAGAATTCTGATGAACACCTTCACAGTGACCAATGTGATGAGCGGGGGAGGAGCAATGTTCTGGGTTGGGATTGGTGAATTGTGAACACAGAATGTCTGTTAATTTTGCTGTACAGCTTTTGTGACCCAAATCTCTCCATTCACAGTACATACGCAATTTCCAGAACATGTTCTCTAAGCTACGATCTCATGCTTCAGTTTCAGAGGTTAACTTGTGCTTGCAACATTGCATTGCTCTCCTAACATCCATCATGATCTCTCTGACCACTCTCCAGTACTTCAGGCGTGGTCAGCGCTCAGGATACATGTAGAAGACTAGACGTGGTCAGCCTCTGTGCTCAGGATACATGTAGAAGACTAGACGTGGTCAGCGCTCAGGATACATGTAGAAGACTGGACGTGGTCAGCGCTCGGGAGGCTTGGCTTGGGGCTTGTAGTAGACTGGACATAGTCTGTGCTCAGGATACATGTAGAAGACTAGACGTGGTCAGCGCTCGGGATACTTGTAGTAGACTGGACATAGTCAGTGCTCGGGATACTTGTAGTAGACTGGACGTGGTCAGCGCTCGGGATACTTGTAGTAGACTGGACGTGGTCAGCGCTCGGGATACTTGTAGTAGACTGGACATAGTCTGTGCTCAGGAGACATGTAGTAGACCAGACATGGTCAGTGCTCAGGATACATGTAGAAGACTAGACATGGTCAGGTCAGCGCTCGGGAGTCTTGCAGTAGACTGGACGTGGTCAGCGCTCGGGATACTTGTAGTAGATTGGACATGGTCAGCGCTCGGGAGTCTTGCAGTAGACTGGACGTGGTCAGCGCTCGGGATACTTGTAGTAGACTGGACGTGGTCAGCGCTCGGGATACTTGTAGCAGACTGGACGTGGTCAGCGCTCGGGATACTTGTAGTAGACTGGACGTGGTCAGCGCTCGGGAGTCTTGCAGTAGACTGGACGTGGTCAGCGCTCGGGATACTTGTAGTAGACTGGACGTGGTCAGCGCTCGGGATACTTGTAGTAGACTGGACGTGGTCAGCGCTCGGGATACTTGTAGCAGACTGGACGTGGTCAGCGCTCGGGAGTCTTGCAGTAGACTGGACATGGTCAGTGCTCGGGATACATGTAGTAGACTGGACGTGGTCAGCGCTCGGGATACATGTAGTAGACTGGACGTGGTCAGCGCTCGGGATACTTGTAGTAGACCGGACGTGGTCAGCGCTCGGGATACTTGTAGTAGACCGGACGTGGTCAGCGCTCGGGATACTTGTAGTAGACCGGACATGGTCAGCGCTCGGGATACTTGTAGTAGACCGGACATGGTCAGCGCTCGGGATACTTGTAGTAGACCGGACATGGTCAGCGCTCGGGATACTTGTAGTAGACTGGACATGGTCAGCGCTCGGGATACTTGTAGTAGACTGGACATGGTCAGCGCTCGGGATACTTGTAGTAGACTGGACATGGTCAGCGCTCAGGATACTTGTAGTAGACGGACGGTCACATGGTCAGCGCTCAGGATACTTGTAGTAGACCGGACATGGTCAGCGCTCGGGAGGCTTGTAGTAGACTGGACGTGGTCAGCGCTCGGGATACTTGTAGTAGACTGGACATGGTCAGCGCTCGGGATACTTGTAGTAGACCGGACATGGTCAGCGCTCAGGATACTTGTAGTAGACCGGACATGGTCAGCGCTCAGGATACTTGTAGTAGTAGCTCAGGAACTTCCAGTTTCTAACTGATCACTTGTCCTAGTGATGGAGGAGGAGGAAGCACACCAAGGAGATCTGTCTCCTCAGATTCGATGCACCAGGACCTGATGGGTTTATAGGTCCATAGAGCCATGATCCTGACACACCACGCCCCTGTGAGGAAGTTCACAAGGATGAAACCCCTCAGCATTCTATTTCAGGTGCCAGCTGGCTACCGGGTGAGATGGGACTGACTCTAAACTTTCATGAGACCTCAGTGAGGTACAACCGGTGCCGCTTCCCCCGTATGAGGAGTCTTCCTGTCTTTGGATTCATTTGCACAGGGTTATTTCCGTTCCTTCCTCTGGAGCACAACGGATATTGTTGTACGTGATAAATCCACACTTGGAGACTCCAGGGTGAGCAGCATATATGGCAATAACGAGTCTGCATGAGACGTCTGCAGCCCCCCCCCCCCTTCCCGCTATTAAAGTGCCCATGCTTGTGGATGCGTATGCCTGTGGAAGCATTTTCCAGCTCAGTATACTGTACGTGGGTGTGGAGGGCAGCAGAAGAACCATTTGTGGCCCATTTGGAGAAAGACAATACTTTCTATAGACGTGGAGACTCTGCATGCCATTTGGATCCACACAAGGAACACATTCTTCATTTCTTTGGGATTATTGACGTGTAGATGTTCCACTTGATGACTGATACAAGTTGCCGTTATTTGAAGTTCACCATGTATTGAGCATATGGAGAACATATCTGCCCCACCTATACCTGATGCTTGTGCTCTGGATACTTGTAGAAGACCTGGACATGGTGGGTGCACAGGATACATATAGTAAATATGGACATGGTCAGCACTCAGGTACTTGTAGAAGACCTGGACATGGTGGGTGCTCAGGATACTTATAGTAAATATGGACATGGTTGTTGAAGCACTCAGGGTACTTGTAGAAGACCTGGACATGGTCAGCACTCAGGATATTTGTAGTAACACCTGGACATGTTGGTGCTCAGGATACTTGTAGAAGACCTGGACATGGTGGGTGCTCAGGATACTTGTAGAAGTCCTGGACATGGTCGAAGCTCAGGATATTTGTAGAAGACCTGGACATGGTGGTGCTCAGGATATTTGTAGAACTGGACATGATTGGTGCTCAGGATACTTGTAGAAGACCTGGACATGGTAAGTGCACAGGATACTTGTAGAAGACCTGGACATGATGACTGCTCAGGATACTTGTAGAAGACCTGGATATGGTGGGTGCTCAGGATACTTATAGGAGACCTACACTTGGACACCTGGACGTGGTCGGTGCTCAGGATACTTATAGAAGACCTGGACATGGTGGGTGCTCAGGATACTTGTAGAAGACCTGGACATGGTGGGTGCTCAGGATACTTGTAGAAGACCTGGACATGGTGGGTGCTCAGGATTCTTGTAGAAGACCTGGACATGGTGGGTGCTCAGGATACTTGTAGAAAACCTGGACATGGTCGGTGCTCAGGATACTTGTAAAAGACATGGACATGGTCGGTACTCAGGATACTTGTAGAAGACATGGACATGGTCGGTGCTCAGGATACTTGTAGAAGACCTGGACATGGTGGGTGCTCAGGATACTTATAGGAGACCTAGACTTGTAGTAGACCTGGACGTGGTCGGTGTTCAGGATACTTATAGTAGACCTGGACATGGTCGGTGCTCAGGATACTTGTAGAAGACCTGGACATGGTGGGTGCTCAGGATACTTGTAGTAAATATGGACATGGTCAGCGCTCAGGATACTTGTAGAAGACCTGGACATGGTGGGTGCTCAGGATACTTATAGGATACCTGGACTGGTTAGTGCTCAGGATACCTGTAGAAGGTCCAGGTGGTCGAAGCTCAGGATACTTGTAGAAGACCTGGAAATGGTTGGTGCTCAGGATATTTGTAGAACTTTGGACATGATTGGTGTCAGGATATTGTAGGAGACCATGGACATGGTAAGTGCACAGGATACTTGTAGAAGACCTGGACATAATCCCCGCTCAGGATACTTGTAGATCCTGGACATGATGGGTGCTGGGATACTTGTAGAAGACCTGGATATGGTGGGTGCTCAGGATACTTATAGGAGACCTACACTTGTAGTAGACCTGGACGTGGTCGGTGCTCAGGATACTTGTAGAAGACCTGGACATGATGGGTGCTCAGGATACTTGTAGAAGACCTGGACATGGTGGGTGCTCAGGATACTTATAGGATACCTAGACTTGTAGTAGAATCTGCAGGTCAGTGTACAGGGTACTATAGTAGACTGAATACGGTCGGTGCTCAGGATACTTATAGAAGACCTGGACATGGTGGTGCTCAGGATACTTGTAGAAGACCTGGACATGGTGGGTGCTCAGGATACTTGTAGAAGACATGGCCATGGTCGGTGCTCAGAGTACTTGTAGAAGTCCTGGACATGGTCGTGGTGCTCATTCCGGTACTTGTAGAAGACATGGACATGGTCGGTGCTCCTAAGGTACTTGTACAAGACATGGACATGGTCGGTGCTCAGGGTACTTGTACAGACATGGACATGGTCGGTGCTCAGGGTACTTGTAGAAGACATGGACATGGTCAGTGCTCAGGGTACTTGTAGAAGACATGCACATGGTCGGTGCTCAGGGTACTGGTAGAAGACATGGACATGGTCGGTGCTCAGGATACTTGTAGAAGACATGGACATGGTGTGTGCTCAGGGTACTTGTAGAAGACATGGACATGGTCGGTGCTCAGGGTACTTGTAGAAGACATGGACATGGTCGGTGCTCAGGGTACTTGTAGAAGACATGGACATGGTCGGTGCTCAGGGTACTTGTAAGAAGAACCTGGACATGGTCGGTGCTCAGGGTACTTGTAGAAGACATGGACATGGTCGGTGCTCAGGGTACTTGTAGAAGACATGGACATGGTCGGTGCTCAGGGTACTTGTAGAAGACATGGACATGGTCGTTTGCTCAGGGTACTTGTAGAAGACATGGACATGGTCGGTGCTCAGGGTACTTGTAGAAGACATGCACATGGTCGGTGCTCAGGGTACTGGTAGAAGACATGGACATGGTCGGTGCTCAGGATACTTGTAGAAGACATGGACATGGTCGGTGCTCAGGGTACTTGTAGAAGACATGGACATGGTCGGTGCTCAGGGTACTTGTAGAAGACATGGACATGGTCGGTGCTCAGGATACTTGTAGAAGACCTGGACATGGACATGGTCGGTGCTCAGATACTGGTAGAAGACATGGACATGGTCGGTGCTCAGGGTACTTGTAGAAGACCTGGACATGGTCGGTGCTCAGGGTACTTGTAGAAGACATGGACATGGTCGGTGCTCAGGGTACTTGTAGAAGACATGGACATGGTCGGTGCTCAGGGTACTTGTAGAAGACATGGACATGGTCGGTGCTCAGGGTACTTGTAGAAGACATGGACATGGTCGGTGCTCAGGGTACTTGTAGACAGACATGGACATGGTCGGTGCTCAGGGTACTTGTAGAAGACATGGACATGGTCGGTGCTCAGGATACTGGTAGAAGACATGGACATGGTCGGTGCTCAGGATACGTGTTTCTTTTTCATTGTTACATGTAAGTATTATTCATATTCCATACGTGGCAATCCTGTAGACGTGGAGAACCAATGTACTAATCCCCGCTACTACACTGATCCTCGCTGTGTTCTGGGTCTTGATAGAACTTGGACATCCTCAGGACAGTTGTACATCAGTGAGAACAGGGACAGCCACAGCAAACTACCGGCCACTTCAAATCTGCAGGTCAGAGCGGGTCTAGGAGTGTTTGATGAACATCATGTGTCACTGTTTGTGGAGCAATGAATGAGATTGGTGTTCTGCTGTATGTAAGTCATCCCAAATCCACGGCCAATTCTGCACTGCCGGTGTACGTTGTTGCTGAGACTGTCCGTGTGTGCGTCCCATTCCGTAACATCATGTACAGCTTTGAGGCATACCCTAAGCATGTTATTTTAAAGGTTTGTGTATTTTGTCCTCAAAGCCGAATGAACAGACCCTCTCCCCACGGTTCTGTACTCTATTCTATTTTTGTTTTCATTGGTCCGTGTCCCCATGGCCACTGCCCAGTTTTTTGACAGTAGTTTGCTTCAAACCTCTAAAATGGCCAAACTTTAACCACAAGATTGGCCCCCTGTGGACTTCGATGGGTTTCACTTTTAAGTTTCATTGGTCCGTGTCCCCATGGCCATGCCCATCTCGCTATGTATTTTTTTTGACAGTAGTTTGCCTTCTAACCCCAAAAAGGTCAGAATTTAACCACACGATTGCCACCCTGTAGACCTCAAAGGATTAACCTTCAAGTTTCATTGGCCCGTGTCCCCATGGCCACTGTCCAGTTTTTTGACAGTAGTTTGCTTCAAACCTCTAAAATGGCCAGAATGTAACCACAAGATTGGCCCCTGTGGACTTCGATGAACTTCACTTTCATTGGTCCGTGTCCCCATGGTCAAGCCCATCTCGCTATGTCTTTTTTTGACAGTAGTTTGTTTCAAACCTCAAAAATGGTCAGAATTGAACCACACGATTGCCACCCTATAGAGGTCAATGGGATTCACCTGTAAGTTTCATTGGTCCATGTCCCCATGGCCGTGCCCAGCTCCCCAAGACCTTTTGACAGTAGTTTGCCATTTGGCCTTAATATTGGTCAGATTCCCTGGGTTTGGGCGAATTGAACCTGAGCAGCTTCACCCTTCATTAGCCAGTGTGTCCCCAACAATTCTTCTTCTTCTTGTGTAGGCGGATAGCGTGTGGATGGATATGGAAGATGCAGAGGACCTTCCAGCACCAGCCGAACTTGAGCAGTGGATTGAAGACGTGTTATCTGGCAAGATCAACACCGAGGATGACGATGATGATGACGACGATGATGATGACGACGACGACTGGGATGACGATGACGACGACGACGATGAGGATGATGACGATGACGACGACGACGATGGGGATGATGACGATGATGATGATTAGTAAGATCTCATCCTGGTAACTCCTGCAGCATTTCATACAAGAACTCGATGTCACTTAGCCATGGACTTCCTCTATCCAGGTGCCGTTCTCTATTGAGGATTATCTATTTCCTAGAATACCAACCAACGAATTCCAACGTTAAGGCCGGGAGACGAGTCGAGGGTAGAACGTTACATTCTTTCAGTTATCTTTTTCTTGGCATTTCCAAGAAATGATATAAATTCAATAAAGAAGTGGTGGGAAGGTAATGTCATGAGTCTGCACCTTATTTATTGGGGGGGACAACATGGTCTAAGAGGAGAGCCGCCTGAAAATGGCTGATTGATATCAACTGTTATCGCTGAATGAGAAGACTTGTCAGAAAAGGTTTTACAAATCCTACAGGAAAGTTCCACAATGTAATACTACGATATCCACAAGGTGGGACAGATGTCAGGTGAGACCTCTCGGCATGAACCCGTCCGCTTTACTGTGACCCTCCAATACCGCAATAAGGTCAGTCCAACTGGGGTCGGTATCAACAGGACAGAAGATCTGGAGTGACAGTTCCATCAAGGTCAATATGGGCAGGATGGAAGGATGGTAATGAAGGTCCCACTGGGGTCAATATGGGCAGGATGGAAGGACGGTAATGAAGGGTCCCACTGGGGTCAATATGGGCAGGATGGAAGGACGGTAATGAAGGTCCCACTGGGGTCAATATGGGACAGGATGGAAGGACGGTAATGAAGGTCCCACTGGGGTCAATATGGGCAGGATAGGAAGGACGGTAATGAAGGTCCCACTGGGGTCAGCATGGACAGGATAGAAGGCTGGTAATGAAGGTCCCACTGGGGTCAGCATGGACAGGATAGAAGGCTGGTAATGAAGGTCCCACTGGGGTCAATATGGGCAGGATGGAACAAGGCTGGTAATGAAGGTCCCACTGGGGTCAATATGGGCAGGATGGAAGGACGGTAATGAAGGTCCCACTGGGGTCAATATGGGCAGGATGGAAGGACTGGTAATGAAGGTCCCACTGGGGTCAGCATGGACAGGATACAAAGGCTGGTTCATGAAGGTCCCACTGGGGTCAGCGATGGACAGGATAGAAGGCTGGTAATGAAGGTCCCACTGGGGTCAATATGGACAGGATAGAAGGCTGGTAATGAAGGTCCCACTGGGGTCAGCGATGGACAGGATAGAAGGCTGGTAATGAAGGTCCCACTGGGGTCAGCGAGGACAGGATAGAAGGCTGGAAATGAAGGTCCCACTGGGGGTCAGTGGGTCAGGAGGACAGGATATAAAGCTGGAAATGAAGGTCCCACTGGGGTCAATGAGGACAGGATAGAAAGCTGGTAATGAAGGTCCCACTGGGGTCAGTGAGGACAGGATAGAAAGCTGGTAATGAAGGTCCCACTGGGGTCAGTGAGGACAGGATAGAAGGCTGGTAATGAAGGTCCCACTGGGGTCAGCATGGACAGGATAGAAGGCTGGAAATGAAGGTCCCACTGGGGTCAGCGAGGACAGGATAGAAAGCTGGTAATGAAGGTCCCACTGGGGTCAGCGAGGACAGGATAGAAAGCTGGTAATGAAGGTCCCACTGGGGTCAGCATGGACAGGATAGAAGGCTGGTAATGAAGGTCCCACTGGGGTCAGCATGGACAGGATAGAAGGCTGGTAATGAAGGTCCCACTGGGGTCAGCGAGGACAGGATAGAAGGCTGATAATGAAGGTCCCACTGGGGTCAGTGAGGACAGGTTAGAAGGCTGTTCATGAAGGTCCCACTGGGGTCAGCATGGACAGGATAGAAGGCTGGTAATGAAGGTCCCACTGGGGTCAGCATGGACAGGATAGAAGGCTGGTAATGAAGGTCCCACTGGGGTCAGCATGGACAGGATAGAAGGATGTTAATGAAGGTCCCACTGGGGTCAGCGAGGACAGGATAGCAGGCTGGTAATGAAGGTCCCACTGGGGTCAGCATGGACAGGATAGAAGGCTGGTAATGAAGGTCCCACTGGGGTCAGCGAGGACAGGATAGAAGGCTGGTAATGAAGGTCCCACTGGGGTCAACGAGGACAGGATAGAAGACTAGTAAGAAGAGTCCCACTGCAGGCAGTATGGGCAGGATAAAAAAAAAAAAAGGACTGTTCGACTATGGACAGGATAGAAGACCAGTAAGGACTGACCAGCTGGGTTCATTATGGACAGGATAGAAGACCGGTAAGGACAGTATGGACAGGATAGAAGACCAGTAAGGACAGTCCCATTGTGGGCAGTATAGACATGATAGAGGACCAGTAAGGACAGTCCCATTGTGGGCAGTATGGACAGGACAGAAGACCAGTAAGGACAGTATGGACAGGACAGAAGACCGGTAAGGACAGTATGGACAGGATAGAAGACCAGTAAGGACAGTCCCATTGTGGGCAGTATGGACAGGACAGAAGACCGGTAAGGACAGTCCCATTGTGGGCAGTATGGATAGGATAGAAGACCAGTAAGGACAGTATGGACAGGACAGAAGACCGGTAAGGACAGTCCCATTGTGGGCAGTATGGACAGGACAGAAGACCAGTAAAGACAGTCCCATTGTGGGCAGTATGGACAGGATAGAAGACCAGTAAGGACAGTATGGACAGGACAGGATAGAAGACCGGTAAGGACAGTCCCATTGTGACAGGCAGTATGGACAGGACAGACAGACAGAGACAACCAGTAAGGACAGTCCCATTGTGGGCAGTATGGACAGGACAGAAGACCAGTAAGGACAGTCCCATTGTGGGCAGTATGGACAGGATAGAAGACCAGTAAGGACAGTATGGACAGGACAGAAGACCAGTAAGGACAGTATGGACAGGACAGAAGACCGGTAAGGACAGTATGGACAGGACAGAAGACCAGTAAGGACAGTCCCATTGTGGGCAGTATGGACAGGACAGAAGACCAGTAAAGACAGTCCCATTGTGGGCAGTATGGACAGGATAGAAGACCAGTAAGGACAGAAGACCAGTAAGGACAGAAGACCAGTAAGGACAGCATGGACAGGATAGAAGACCAGTAAGGACAGAAGACCAGTATGGACAGGAAAGAAGACCAGTAAGGACAGTCCCATTGTGGGCAGTATGGACAGGACAGAAGACCGGTAAGGACAGTCCCATTGTGGACAGTATGGACAGGATAGAAGACCGGTAAGGACAGTCCCTATTATGGGCAGTATGGACAGGATAGAAGACCAGTAAGGACAGTCCCATTGTGGACAGTATGGACAGGACAGAAGACTGGTAAGGACAGAAGACCAGTATGGACAGGACAGAAGACCAGTAAGGACAGTCCCATTGTGGGCAGTATGGACAGGACAGAAGACCAGTAAGGACAGAAGACCAGTATGGACAGGACAGAAGACCAGTAAGGACAGTCCCATTGTGGGCAGTATGGACAGGACAGAAGACCAGTAAGGACAGAAGACCAGTATGGACAGGACAGAAGACCAGTAAGGACAGGAAAGAAGACCAGTAAGGACAGTATGGACAGGATAGAAGACCAGTAAGGACAGGAGACAGAAGACCAGTAAGGACAGGAAAGTGGGCAGTATGGACAGTCCCAGAAGACCGGTAAGGACAGTATGGACAGGACAGAAGACCAGTAAGGACAGTATGGACAGGACAGAAGACCAGTAAGGACAGCCCATTGTGGGCAGTATGGACAGGACAGAAGACCGGTAAGGACAGTCCCATTGTGGACAGGACAGAAGACCAGTTATTCCCACTGTGGACAATATGGACCAGTAGGACCAGTCATTTTCTCACGGTGATATTCTCTCTCTGGGCTTCCTATGTTGTGTTCTCTCCTCCTCCTTCCTGCCTTGATGTGGTTGTATGTCCACCATACATCTTCTGACAGACAGTGCCGGTTGTTCCTGAAGGGTCCTCCCTGACCCCACGGCCGCTCCCTGACCCCACGGCCGCTCCCTGACCCCACGGCCGCTCCCTGACCCCATGACCTCTCCCTGACCCCACGGCCGCTCTCTGACCCCACGACCGCTCCCTGACCCCACGGCCGCTCCCTGACCCCACGGCCGCTCCCTGACCCCACGGCCGCTCCCTGACCCCATGGCTGCTCCCTGACCCCATGGCCGCTCCACACACAGAATGCATTGAAATGGTAAGAATCCATGTAGCAGAAATCGCAGACACCGCGACATACGAAGAGGAGGTCTCTATATATTGCATCGTATTGTACGGAATACCCGGGATAGGTGAGCAGACATCTCATACCAAGGGCTCCGGGTACGTCCCGCGGCTTTTTTCTCCTTCACACCGGAGACCTCGGGTATCACAGTTTTCTGGGTTCTCCATCGTTTTCCCACCGTAGTGATTGCCATTGAATGGAATGAAGTCCGGCGGGTCGTGGTTTGGGTTCGGTGACCCGCTGTTTGTCATTTGAGCCGATCCAAATTCATTTCTTCGAGAGGCAACTCATCCGGGATGCAAGTCAAAGCAATCCTTTAAAGCCCAACTCCGGCCTTTTCGGCTCCTTCAGAAGTATTTCTGTCCCCCATCCAAGGCTAGAGGGACACAAGTGGTCGGATTCAGCCAGGAGGAGATCTGATGACCTCTGATGTGTCCTAAAATGATGTTCAATGATTGCTGAATTCGCCCATCAACACCATTCTATTTGTGGACAGATTGGGGAACGGAGAATAAACTCCGCCTTCTTCCTATCCCGGTGACAACCACTCCCCTCCTATCTTATCCTACTGCCAATGGTTGTCACAGGGACAGGAAATTAGTTCAGATCTCACAAATGTGGAAGTGACTGGAGATCGGCATTCTGGAGTCAGCCGTCTAAAGATGAATCCCTCCATTGTACAATCACATCGCAATGATTCAGGCCACGCCTCTCCTTAGCTCCTTAGGACATCAACTACGGATGGGGATGAGGGGACATCAACTACGGATGGGGATGAGGGGGCATCAGCTGTGGCTGGGGATGAGGGGACATCAGCTGTGGATGGGGATGAGGGGGCATCAGCTGTGGATGGGGAGGAGGGGGCATCAGCTGTGGATGGGGATGAGGGGGCATCAGCTGTGGATGGGGAATCAGCTGTGGATGGGGATGACGAGACAATAACTGTGGATGGGGATGAGGGGACATCAGCTGTGGATGTAGATGAGGGGACATCAGCTGTGGATGGGGAAGTATTAGCTGTATGGGGATGAGGGGACATTAGCTATGGATGGGGATGAGGGGACATAGCTGTGGATGGGGATGAGGGGACATTAGCTGTGGATGGGGATGAGGGGACATTAGCTATGGATGGGGATGAGGGGACATTAGCTGGATGGGGATGAGGGGACATTAGCTGTGGATGGGGATGAGGGGACATTAGCTGTGGATGGGGATGAGGGGACATTAGCTGTGGATGGGGATGAGGGGACATTAGCTGTGGATGGGGATGAGGGGACATCAGCTGTGGATGGGGAGGAGGGGACATTAGCTGTGGATGGGGATGAGGGGACATTAGCTGTGGATGGGGATGAGGGGACATTAGCTGTGGATGGGGATGAGGGGACATTAGCTGTGGATGGGGATGAGGGGACATCAGCTGTGGATGGGGATGAGGGGACATCAGCTGTTGATGGGGATGAGGGGACATCAGCTGTGGATGGGGATGACGAGACAATAACTGTGGATGGGGATGAGGGGACATCAGCTGTGGGTGGGGATGAGAGGGGACATCAGCTGTGGATGGGGATGAGGGGACAATAGCTGTGGATGGGGATGAGGGGACATCAGCTGTGGATGGGGATGACGGGACATAACTGTGGATGGGGATGAGGGGACATCAGCTGTGGATGGGGATGAGGGGACATCAGCTGTGGATGTGGATGAGGGGACATCAGCTGTGGATGGGGATGAGGGGACATCAGCTGTGGATGGGGATGAGGGGACATCAGCTGTGGATGGGGAAGTATTAGCTGTGGATAGTGGAAGGGATTCTTCACAGTAAGAGTGGATGAGATGTAAATTGCTTCGCCAGGAGATGTAGAAATCACAAACCCCATAGAGGACTATGTATCCGGATGGATTTCCCACAACCATCATTCTCGGATTTCATGACCAACTGACAATATGGGGAAATCTCCATCCGGAAAGGCGATCCAATTGCCCTTGAGGGATCAGGAGGACTTTTCTCTCTCTGGGGGGTAAAATCGGCCACCATTGTTTTGCTTCCTCTGGAGAGAGGTGGAATCTACGGGGGGGTCAGACACTGGATAATGGTTGTTCTCCAGGGGGCCAGACACAGAATGACGGCCGTCCTCCAGGGGGCCAGACACAGGATGACGGCCGTCCTCCAGGGGGCCAGACACAGGATGACGGCCGTCCTCCAGGGGGCCAGACACTGGATGACGGCCGTCCTCCAGGGGGCCAGACACTGGATGACGGCCGTCCTCCAGGGGGCCAGACACTGGATGACGGCCGTCCTCCAGGGGGCCAGACACTGGATGATGGTTGTTCTCCAAGGGGCCAGACACTGGATGACGGCCGTCCTCCAGGGGGCCTGACACTGGATGACGGCCGTCCTCCAGGGGGCCAGACACTGGATGACGGCCGTCCTCCGGGGGGGCCAGACACTGGAAGAGGGCCGTCCTCCGGGGGGCCAGACACTGAAGAGGGCCGTCCTCCAGGGGGCCAGACACTGGATGACGGCCGTCCTCCGGGGGGGCCAGACACTGGATGACGGCCGTCCTCCAGGGGGCCAGACACTGGATGACGGCCGTCCTCCAGGGGGCCAGACACTGGATGACGGCCGTCCTCCAGGGGGCCAGACACTGGATGACGGCCGTCCTCCAGGGGGCCAGACACTGGATGACGGCCGTCCTCCAGGGGGCCAGACACTGGATGACGGCCGTCCTCCAGGGGGCCAGACACTGGATGACGGCCGTCCTCCAGGGGGCCAGACACTGGATGACGGCCGTCCTCCAGGGGGCCAGACACTGGATGACGGCCGTCCTCCAGGGGGCCAGACACTGGATGACGGCCGTCCTCCAGGGGGCCAGACACAGAATGACGGCCGTCCTCGGGGGGGGGGGCCATACACAGAATGACGGCCGTCCTCCGGGGGGCCAGACACTGGATGACGGTTGTTCTCCAAGGGGCCAGACACAGAATGATGGCCGTCCTCCGGGGGGCCAGACACAGGATGACTGCCGTCCTCCGGGGGGCCAGACACAGGATAACAGCCATCCTCCGGGGGGCCAGACACAGAACGACGGCCGTCCTCCGGGGGGCCAGACACAGAACGACGGCCGTCCTCAGGGGGGCCAGACACAGAACGACGGCCGTCCTCCGGGGGGCCAGACACAGAACGACGGCCGTCCTCCGGGGGGCCAGACACAGAACGACGGCCGTCCTCCGGGGGGCCAGACACAGAACGACGGCCGTCCTCCGGGGGGCCAGACACAGAACGACGGCCGTCCTCCGGGGGGCCAGACACAGGTTGGTGGTCCTATTTACATTCGTTCTGATAGAACACACACAGACCAATCAATATTAATGATTTATCACCATTTATTGCATCTGTACATTTTCGGGATCTCTCCCGATTCTGGATATTCCAAGTTCTTGTCGGCTTTCATAATACTGCGTTCGCGGTGATGTCACCGTTTCTCCCCGCCCCCGCCATGGGGAAGGTTAGAGTGCCTCCCAGGTGATGGGGATTGTACATCACTCCTATCTATGTGCCAGATATAAGCGTCCTCACACCAGGCCTCAGACGTCGGCCAATCCCATGTTAGAAGACATAAGTGCGCTGCGCTCGGGTTAGTGAGAGCGCTATAGGTCTAGAACCTTGTATGTTACGTGTGCTGTGTACAACATACGTGTGCTGCGTTGGGGTTAGTATGTGCATAGAGCTTTGCATGTCACCCGCTATATATAAAGGTTATGTGCCGGGGGGGGGGAGGGGTCAGCAGACCCCCAAAGTTCATACATTTAGCAGAAACACTCCTTTTCATCCTGAGGTACCAGAACCTGAAATGTCGCCGCTGCAGGCCGTAGCGTACCTACATGGAGGGCGATAGACTGGCGCTTTGGATATATATGTAACCTCGGTGAAGCTGAAGAGTTTACACAGGCTGCCAGGCAGGATGGGGCCACGCAATCCCCCACAGGGCCACGCCGGACCCCCGCCGAGCCTTTCGTACATCCAGTCTACGTCTCGTGCGGTCAAGCCGGGGAGATGGTGGACGTGTCCAGCACGGGAGGGTAGAGTCTCACCACAAAGCGATGGGAGTTGGGGGGGACGAAGCTCTCGCTCAGCGTCAGTCTGGGGATCCGACTCACACTGACCACCAGCTGAGTGTCCCCTCCACGTAGGCAGAAGGTCAGAGAGGAGTGCAGGGACCCAGTGACCGACTCCTCGCTCAGCAATGTCCACTCATCCACGTTGGCCCCGGGGTACTGGCAGGTGGGCCCCGGCCGCAGATACTGCTCCAGGAAGGCCTATGGGAGACAGCGATAGGCGATATCAGGAGACTCAACAGGACACACCCAGATCATTGACTGTACACCCCAAAACTCAGCTCTGTACCCAGAATCCTCTCTGGTCATCAATGAAGACTCGAGATAGAGCAGGAAATACAACCAAACTGCAATCAATCTCTAAAAGCATCCTAAGACTCCATGTGTTCCTCCCAGAAAAAGAGAACCTACCTACACCTACCTCCTTCCTTCCCATAATCCTCTCCCACTGAAAACATGGAGGTGCGGTCCTCAGGTTCTCCTGACAGGCCATGTTCTCTGGATTTCCTTGTGTAGGATCACAGCAGGATCATTAGGCACCACAGATGTTCCTGCTAAAGGAAATCCTGAAAGTATGACCCGTAGGGGACCCTGGAGGACTGAAGATGGCACTCCAGCCATAATATCTGATCTCTGGTGACTGGAAGTGATCGGAGCTCTGCAGAGTATGTAGTAGGCCCAGAGAGCCGGGGGTACCTGAGCGGACATATTGTGGGTCAGACACTGGCTGAGGTGTTGGATGATGGCCTCCATGGTGTACCGGTGGGCCTGCCGCGTCGTACGGAGGTAGCGCTGCAGGCACTGCGCGATGAGGGGGAAGATGCTCTGGGCGGTCTCTCTTGGTGGTAAAGCTTGGGAAGATTTCATGCTGTCATCCAAGGAGTTCACCTGAGAGAAGGCGCGGTGCACAGCGACCACCAGCCTGCCGACACGTACAAAGAAACCAACAATTTATCACCGGGAGTATAAATCACACCGCAAATCATCTACAGATCTACAACACATGGATATCCTTCAGGAGGACCATCATCTCCACCACCTATGTGTTTCCCATAATCCTATGTGACTGGAAACATGGGGCTGTGCTAAGTAGTCACATGACTAACCTATAGACGGGTCATCACAGTCACCCCTATGTGTTTCCCATAATCCCCTTTTACTGGATAAAATGGGGCTGTGCTGAGTAATCACATGACTACCCTACAGATGGTCCATCATGACTGCCCCCTATTATTTCCTACAACCCTTTGTGACTGGAAACATGGCGCTGTGCTGAGTAGTCACATGACTGTCCTAAAGAAGGACCACTATGGTCACCCCTATGTATTTCCCAGAATTCCTTTTTTTACTGGAATCATGGCACTATGCTGAGTAGCCACATGACTATCCAATAGGAGGACCATCATGGTTGCCCCTATGCATTCCTATAATCCCCAATTACTGGAAATATGGTAATCACATGACTATTCTACAGAGTGTCCTTCAAGACCACCTCTACGTAGTTCCTATAATTCCCTGTTACTGGAAACATGACGCTGTGCTGGTAGTCACATGACTATTCTACAGAAGGTCCATCATGGGCACCTCTACGTATTTCCCATAATCCCCTATGTTACTGGAAACATGGTGGGTGCTATGCTGGTAGTCACATTGCTATTCTACAGAAGGACCATCATGGGGAGCCCCCTATTTATTGCCCATAATCCCCTATGTCACGGACTTGGTGCTGCAGGAAAACTAGCATTGTAACATATGGCTTCCTATGTATAATCCAATCCTCTGTGGGGGCTACTGTCGGGGGTGGGCATTGTCTGTCATAATGTACTTCCCATAATTCCTTGGTACTGGAATCACATGACTATCCAACAGGGGGCTGAGCTGAGTGCCCCTAAGACTATCCTACAGAAGGGGTACCATGGGTTGCCCCTATGTACTTCCCATAATTCCTTGGTACTGGAAACATGGGCACTGAGCTGAGTGATCCAAAGACTATCCTACAGAAGGACTACCATGGGTTGCCCCTATGTACTTCCCATAATCCTTGTTACTGGAAACATGGGGCTGAGCTGAGTGATCCAAAGACTATCCTACAAAAGACTACCATGGGTGACCCCTTATTATTGCCCATAATTCCTTGGTACCAGAAACATGGTGTTCTTCTAAGTAATCCCATGACTATCCTACAGACGGACCAGCATGGCCTTTCCCGTGATCCCGTTTCTGGAAACCATGGTAGGAAATGACTGTGCAGATCTATACGGTACCTGGCGCGGCGTCTGCGGATTTTGCGCTCGTATTCTATGTCTTCGTAGTAGCGGTCTTTGTAGTTGGAAGAGCTGAGCTGTGATTGGCTGGCTGTGCTGCGCCCCAGGCCTGGGGAGAGGTAACATGGGTCAGCCTCTGCATACATAGACTTAGTACATATCAAAGCACTTCATCTATATCCCGAGACATGACACGGCGCTGTACGAGTGGTCTGCATGCAAATTCAGCCTGCCTGGGAACGCCCACCCCTCCAGACTGACACCCACCCATGATCCCCCACCCCTCCAGACTGACACCCAACCATGATCACCCACCCCTCCAGACTGACACCCACCCATGATCCCCCACCCCTCCAGACTGACACCCACCCATGATCCCCCACCCCTCCAGACTGACACCCACCCATGATCCCCCACCCCTCCAGACTGACACCCACCCATGATCCCCCACCCCTCCAGACTGACACCCAACCATGATCCCCCACCCCTCCAGACTGACACCCACCCATGATCACCCACCCCTCCAGACTGACACCCACCCATGATCCCCCACCCCTCCAGACTGACACCCACCCATGATCCCCCACCCCTCCAGACTGACACCCACCCATGATAAATACCATATGCCAAAAATGTTACCCCTAAGAAAATATATTATTTAAAAAGCCATATGAAAAATTGCAAAGACACCCAAAAATATTGAAAACAATGTGACAAAGTAATACATTTAAAAAATTACCAAAAATGACACCCACACCCTCCAGCATGACACTGCCCACCCATGATCACCCACCCCTCCAGACTGACACCCAACCATGATCCCCCACCCCTCCAGACTGACACCCAACCATGATCCCCCACCCCTCCAGACTGACACCCAACCATGATCCCCCACCCCTCCAGACTGACACCCACCCATGATCCCCCACCCCTCCAGACTGACACCCACCCATGATCACCCACCCCTCCAGACTGACACCCACCCATGATCCCCCACCCCTCCAGACTGACACCCAACCATGATCCCCCACCCCTCCAGACTGACACCCACCCATGATCCCCACACCCCTCCAGACTGACACCCACCCATGATCCCCCACCCCTTCCAGACTGACACCCACCCATGATCCCCCACCCCTCCAGACTGACACCCACCCATGATCACCCACCCCTCCAGACTGACACCCACCCATGATCCCCCACCCCTCCAGACTGACACCCAACCCATGATCACCCACCCCTCCAGACTGACACCCACCCATGATCACCCACCCCTCCAGACTGACACCCAACCATGATCCCCCACCCCTCCAGACTGACACCCACCCATGATCCCCCACCCCTCCAGACTGACTCCCACCCATCAACGCATTGTGATATTTGCATAACTCCTCCCCAGAGCCCGCCCACTGCTTCATTCAGGGCTGAGGGTTCTTGATGGAATGCTGAGGCAGGGTGCTGTGATGCTGTCAGGAAGCTATGTACAGCCCCCCCTGGCTCCTCCCACCAGCCATGATCTGCCTGTATTGCATAGAGAAGTATGGTGATGTCACCCCACCCAGGTATGTAACGAAACTGAATGCTGTGGAATCCGGCACCAAGCAGTCAGTAGAAGATCCTTTAAGTCCTGTACGTTTGAGGTGGGACCTCCATGGATCAGACTTGTTTTTTCCAGAACACCCCACAGATGCTTGATTGGACTGAGCTCTAGAGGACCCATGCGGTGTTCCTCAAACCACCCTTGAACCATTTTTGCAGTGTGGCAGGGTGCATTATCCTTCTGAAAGAGGCCACCCATCAGGGATCCCCCACCGTTTCCACGAAGGGGTGGACTTGGTCACCAACAATGGTTAGGTCGGTGGTACGTGTCACATCCACATGAATGGGAGGAGTCAAGGTCCCTCCCAGCAGAACATTGCCCAAAGCATCACACCCTCCGCCAGCTTGTCTTCTTCCCATTGGGAGGTCAGAGAGTATAGAGAAGGGACAGCACTCTGCTGAGGCGCAATGCAGCTTCACACACCTTCCATCTCACTTTTCATTCCACGTGTCCTTTTGTGCTGACCATCTGGACTGAGTGCTGCAGAGTCTGTCTATTGCCCTTCCCTTCTAGGTGTATTGTCAGGACCCTGCCTTAACCTGAAGTGCCCTCAGTCCAGATATAGTGTTGGCCCCTGGGCTGTAACTAGCCTGAGCCTTGTTTATGTTATCTGGGTTTGTCGGGTTTCTCCTAAGCCCAAGGACATGGGTTGCTTTGCCTGCATTTAGGGAGTGTTCTCCAATGAGCAGATACTGTACAATGTATGGGGTTAAGAATAGTTATTCTTCCTCAGCCAATCACTGAGGGGTTCATGGTGATGGCATGAGTGATCTGGGCTGAGGAAGATGATACACACTTAGAGAGGCCTTCTAGAAGGGTCCTTCCCTCCTGGGCCTGCTGCCTGGAGAGGATGTGTATGTGTGTGGAAGGTCCTTGTCTCTAGGCCTGTGGCCTGGGCAGAGTATAGCATGCATCTAAGGCCTGCTGCCTGGAGAAGATGTGAGTGGTGAAAGGTATTAGTGGAAGGTCTATGCCTCCTAGGCCTGCTTCCTGGAGAGGATGTGTGTGGTAGGAGATCCTTATCTCAAAGACCGGCTGGAGAGGATTTGTGTGGTGGAAGGTCTTTGCCTCCAAGGTCTGCTGCCTGGGCATAGTATAACTCCAGAGTGGTTCCGTTCATGCTTCTAAGGCCTGCTACCTGGAGAGAATTTGTGTAGTGGAAGTTCCTTTATCTCGCAGGCCTGTTATCTGAGCAGGGTATAACTCCAGAGTGGTCCAGTTGATGCCTCTAAGACCTGCTGCCTGAAGATGTGTGTGGTAGAAGATGCTTTCCTCAAAGACCTGCTGCCTGGGAAAATATTTGTGTGGTGGCAGGTCTTTGCCTCCCAGGCCTGCTGCCTGTGCAGAGTATAGCTCCAGAGTGGTCCAGTTCATGCTTCTAAGGCCTGCTGCCTGGAGAGGATGTGTGTGCTGGAAGGTCTTTGCCTCCCGGGCCTGCTGCCTGCGCAGAGTATAGCTCCAGAGTGGTCCAATTCATGCTTCCCATGCATGCTTCCTGGAGAGGATGTATGCGTGGGGAGATCCTTATCTCAAACACCTGCTGCCTGGGGAGGATTTGTGTGGTGGAAGGTCTTTGCCTCCAAGGTCTGCTGCCTGAGCAGAGTATAGCTCCACAGTGGTTCAGTTCAGGCTTCTAAGGCCTGCTACCTGGAGAGGATGTGTGTGGTGAAAGGCCCTTGTCTCCTGCCGCCCAGGGAGGATAGAGCTCCAGATAGATCCAGCTCATGCTTTCCAAGCCTGCTGCTTGGGGGAGGAAGCTAAAGCTGAAGAGTCCTACTTATCAATTGCACATTCGGGCTTAAAAGGTCCACAACTAGCCTGTGAGAAGGTTTGAAAATGCCTAAAAAGGTGGCTGTCCATCTGGCCAACCCAATCTTCATTATCCTATGTCAGAGGTTATCTAGTAGACACTACCGCTGTAGTATTTGGGTATCCTGCACCCCCGAACCCTCCCTCCCATCAACATCTGGGCGGTTTGCTCAGAAGACTCCAAACTCTTGCATGTGTTCACTCTTAGTATAGGTAGAAACCAAACCATTTTTGGAGTTTGGATCGTTTACAGGACCTGTCCAGGAACCACAAACCCCAAATTTGCCTTCTAGATTTGCACAATGGAAAAGTTTGTTTAATTTCATTTCATAGTTACATAGAAAGTTGAGACCCTCTACAACAGCAGACCCTCTACTTCCAGAGAGCCGAGCTATGACGCCCAAGCCCTCCGTAGACTTCCCCAAGAGGCATCAGACAGTGTGACAGCACTGCCACCCGTCCCTGCAGAAAGAGAACTCCTAGAACTTCGGGATAATTTCAGATTCGTTCGAGAAGTTATAATTTCGTTGCATCATATTCGTTATGTTAGGAAGATTTGTTTTCTGAATTTTATTCTATTCTATTTTTTTTCTGTTTTTCCATAAGGTGGCCTAAGTAGGAATCATCATCTTATATCACCTTACTGTATTTATTGGAATATCTTTATTTTCAAATTCAGAAAATTTGTTTCATTATCCTTCATTTAGTTTTTTTTTGGAAATTGGGATACATCTGACCCGCCGAATAATGAAAATTTCAGCCGAATTTCGATTTGTAAAGGAAACGAATTGCACACGTCTTGTTCTAGTATGAGGTATCGTGTTCTGGATTTGGGTCCGACATTAGAGTAGGCCATTATCATCCATTCTGATAAAGGCCTCGGTTTCCACCTTCCATTTATGATGTAGACCCGGAGAAGACTGATCAGAGAATCAGCAGTGGGGGAGGGGGGAGAGATTGCTGGATGGCCGGGAGATGATGATTATCCCGCCATGTTACAAGGATTATGTTGTTGTAGGCTCATTGATGATCAAATACACCTCTGGGCTCAATCTGGACCTCCCCATCCTTCTACTCACCATCCACGCCTTTCCCCTCCGAGTGACGAGGAGATTTGCCCAACTTTCGGCCATTCGGCTCCAGAGTGTAGACAGGGAAATCCTTCGAGTAATTCTCCAACACATACAGAGCCGCTCTTTGTATACTGCAGAGAAGAAGAAGATATCACATTGTAACACATGTGTGACTGGTCAGTGTCCTCTGTACAGCACCGCGGTATATGTCGGAGCTATTTCAAGGTCGGCATTTTCCTTTAAGTGGGTATATAGGGCGAGGGATGTGGTCCTACCTGACTGTCCCCAGGGTGTAGAAGCGGCTCTCCCCATCACTGCTCCGTACCACCGTCAGGATGTAGTAGGCCTGCAGTTGTCTCAGCTCTAGTAGAACCACAGCCAGGTAATGGATGAAGATGAAGGCATCCACAAGGGAGGCGGCATACTGGACCACGCTCAGCAAGTTCCGCTCACGGCCCCCCAGGACCCTTACTATATAGAACAGCCAATAGGAGAGAGAAGGAAGATGCACAGCAGAAGAAGCAGGAAAGCCCGAAACTCCACCAGACGGGGCAGAACGTAGCGTGGAGTACGAAGGAAAACCGCCCAGGAGCCCAGGACCATGAACAGCATCTTAAATGCCACTGAGACATAAAGACCCTCACAGATGACCCCACAGGGCTCTAGCTCGGAGCGCCACAACACCTGAGGAAGAAGGATAAAGATAGGAGGAGTCAGAAGTGTAAGAACCCCCAGAACACAGAACATATAGAACCCCAACATTGTCCGAGCACCAGGCCTGCCTGGCTGAGACTCTGAGGGTCCGCGCCGCAGAGATACATCCTCAAGGGAGGCACTACGCTCTGATGTCACCGCCGTGGTCGTCTCACCCCAATTATCATCCTGGAGAAGAAAAGAGAAATACTGATGGAGAGATTGATGGATGGAAGGACATGAGGAAAACTGGTGGAGGAATGGACTGATGGGGTGAAGGTGAAAGATGGGTGATGGGTAGAAAGAGGGATGGATGGAAGTGGAAGGTTAGTTTATTTGATTGGTTTGATAGATGAATGGATGGATGGAAAGTTGTTGGGTTAAAGAGATGAGTAGAGGCACTGGTGGTTGGATGAAGGATTGAAAGGTTAGTTGGTTGGGTGGTTGGTTGGTTGGAAAGATGGATGAATGGAAGGTTGGTGGGTTAAAGAGATGAGTGGTTGGTTGGATGAAGGAATGTAAGGTTGGTTGGTTGGATGAAGGAATGTAAGGTTGGTTGGTTGGTTGGTTGGAAAGATGGATGGGCAGATGGGGTGAAAGATGAATGACGGGTAGACAGAGGGATGTTTGGATGGATGGAAGTGGAAGGGGGCATATGATGGATGGTTGAATGGAAGGTTGGTTTGACAGATGGATGGAAGGTTGTTGGGTTAAACAGATGAGTAGAGGCACTGGTGGTTGGATGAAGGATTGGATTGGTTGGTTGGTTGATTTGTTGAAAAGATGGATGGATGGAAGGTTGGTTGGTTGGTAAGATGGATAGATGGAAGGTTGGTGGGTTGGTTTGACAGATGGATGGAAGGTTGTTGAGTTAAAGAGATGAAAAAAAAAAATGGTGGATGGCTGGGAGAAGGGATAGAAAGTTGGTTAGTTGCTTGATTTGATGAATGGATGGATGAGCAGAGCGATGGATAGAAGGTTGGTTGGTGTGTTGGTTGGTTGGAAATATGGATGGATGGATGGAAGGTTTGGTGGGTTGGTTGGAAAGATGGATGGATGGAAGGTTGGTGGGTTAAAGAGATGAGTAGAGGCATGGGTGGTTGGATGAAGGAATGTAAGGTTGGTTGGTTGGAAAGATGGATGGACAGATGAAGTGAAAGATGAATGACGGGTAGACAGAGGGATGTTTGGATGGATGGAAGTGGAAGGGGGCATATGATGGATGGTTGAATGGAAGGTTGGTTTGACAGATGGATGGAAGGTTTTGGGTTAAACAGATGAGTAGAGGCACTGGTGGTTGGATGAAGGATTGGAAGGTTGGTTGGTGGATTTGTTGAAAAGATGGATGGATGGAAGGTTGGTTGGTTGGTTGGTAAGATGGATAGATGGAAGGTTGGTGGGTGGGTTGGTTGGAAAGATAGATGGATGGATGGATGGAAGGTTGTTGAGTTAAAGAGATGAGAAAATGGTGGATGGCTGGGAGAAGGGATAGAAAGTTGGTTTGGTTGCTTGATTTGATGAATGGATGGATGAGCAGAGCGATGGATAGAAGGTTGGTTGGTGTGTTGGTTGGTTGGTTGATGGGATGAACAGAGGGATGAATGGACTGTTGGAAGGATATAAAAAAAAAAAAAACTATAGATATAGGTCTCACCCTCCCCTCCTCCTCCTCATCTTCTCGTCCTGTTTCCTCAGCATCCAATAGTGGTTGACTGGCCGGGGTCTGGATGGTGACCGACTTCTGGCAATCATTGTATCTGGAAGGGAAGACAGATTTCATCACACACAGGTCCTATGTCACGGTGATGGTTTTAGCAGGCAATACGTTGAAGTTGCTTTCTGCACTAGAAGCAACATTGGAGGGGTCAGGACTAATCATGGTCCCGTGATGGACAATGAAATGACTGACTCTCCCTCTCACTTTCCTCTATACGGTCCTGTAATGGGACAATGAAGGGTCAGCTGATCCTCTCACTTTCCTCTATATAGACCTGTGATAGGACAATATATGGACTGGTTCCCCATCACTTACCTCTACGTACATCTGTGATGGGACAATAATGGGACCACTTCCCCTATATAGCCTGTGATTGGACAATGATGGGACCAGTTCTTCCATTCACTTATCTCTATCTATTCCTCTGAGAGGGCTGACCAATGTACAGGTGTACGGACAGACGGACCAATGTACAGGTGTACGGACAGACGGACCAATGTACAGGTGTATGGGTGACCAATGTACGGACAGACGGACCAATGTACAGGTGTACGGACAGACGGACCAATGTACAGGTGTATGGACAGACTGACTGACCAATGTACAGGTGTATGGACACGGACTGACTGACCAATGTACAGGTGTACGGACAGACGGACCAATGTACAGGGTGTACGGACAGACGGACCAATGTACAGGTGTACGGACAGACGGACCAATGTACAGGTGTATGGACAGACGGACCAATGTACAGGTGTACGGACAAACGGACCAATGTACAGGTGTACGGACAGACGGACAATGTACAGGTGTACGGACAGACGGACCAATGTACAGGTGTATGGACAGACGGACCAATGTACAGGTGTATGGACAGACAAACGGACCAATGTACAGGTGTATGGACAGACGGACCAATGTACAGGTGTATGGACAGACGGACCAATGTACAGGTGTACGGACAGACGGACAGACCAATGTACAGGTGTATGGACAGACGGACAGACCAATGTACAGGTGTATGGACAGACGGACAGACCAATGTACAGGTGTATGGACAGACGGACCAATGTACAGGTATACGGACAGACGGACCAATGTACAGGTGTACGGACAGACGGACCAATGTACAGGTGTACGGACAGACGGACAGACCAATGTACAGGTGTATGGACAGACGGACCAATGTACAGGTGTACGGACAGACTGACTGACCAATGTACAGGTGTATGGACAGACTGACAGACCAATGTACAGGTGTATGGACAGACGGACCAATGTACAGGTGTACGGACAGACGACTGACCAATGTACAGGTGTACGGACAGACGGACCAATGTACAGGTGTATGGACAGACTGACCAATGTACAGATGTACGGACAGACGGACCAATGTACAGGTGTACGGACAGACAGATGGACCAATGTACAGATTGATGAATGATAATTGATAGATGATTGATTACCTGTCAGTTGCCGGCCGGCTGTGAAATGACTGCGCTGAATACACGGATTCCTCATCCATCCCTGCTGGATAGAAGGAAAGGTCAGTAAAGGAACCAATAGCAGGGACACGGGGTCAGAGGTCAGGGAGCCACCGGTATGACGGCAGGGTCAGAGGAGCCACAGGTACGCTGGCAGGGTCAGAGGTCAGGGAGCCACCAGTATGACAGCAGGGTCAGAGGTCAGGGAGCTGGGTCACCTGTATAATAGCAGTGTGCTGCATTGTGTTGCCCCTGTCCCGCTGTCATGTCCCTCCATGGGTCCACATCTGACACAGGTAACCATTGTATGGAGAACGGGCTGGACTGGGCGGCGGGAGGCAAGGCACTCAGGGTCCAAGGCACAGGGGGGACACCAAGGCACGGGACGGGGCAAGGCACAGGACGGGGACACCAAGGCACAGGACGGGGACACCAAGGCACAGGACGGGGACACCAAGGCACAGGACGGGGACACCAAGGCACAGGACGGGGACACCAAGGCACAGGTCGGGGACACCAAGGCACAGGACGGGGACACCAAGGCACAGGACGGGGACCAACCAGGACACCAAGGCACAGGACGGGGACACCAAGGCACAGGACACCAAGGCACAGGACGGGGACAGGTCGGGGACACCACCAAGGTCGGGGCACCAAGGCACAGGACGGGGACACCAAGGCACAGTCCCAGATGGTTTGTCCTTCACTTTTATTCAGCAAGGCAGCAATCACAGGTCAATGCAGGAGGGGTTCGTTCAGCAAGCCCATGGAATACAACGAACAAATTCTCGGTACCTGAAATCAGATCAGGACCGGACTAACAGGCGCCCCACAAAGGGTCAGCGGTCAGCCCTTCTCGCCCAGCAGCAGGCTTCCACATCAGAGCCTGACCATCGACCACATGATATACAGAAAGGCCTGTGACAGCGAAGATGAATAACGAGGTCTGGCTACCAGGTACGGCATGGACCCAGAAATGGTGGCTTCATCCAATCCAGAAGCTCTACAAAGCCTCCGGGCTCCGGGCCCCAGCATAGATCTTCTTCAGATTCTAAGAAAACAACGTTGGTCTTCTCCACCGATACAAACATTGGAGCCCCTCATCATGTGTATGTCAGAACCCCGGTGACACCCCTACCCCATCCACAATCCTGCCGGCCAGTGTCTCATCAGATCCATCTGTCTTATGTATACAGGGCATGCCTAAAGTATTCAGACCCCCTCACTTTTCTCAGCGTA